CTGAGTAGGTTCTCAATAAGTTTTTGATGACTATTATTTGTTGAAGTCCTCAACACAGGTCTTGGCACATGGTAAGTGCTTAATAAATGCTAACTCTCACCATCACCAACGCCCCACATCATCATTGTCACCGTCATTACTGCCGTCATTGGCACAATTCTAAGTGTATAACCCCAGGGGTCATATAAGGCTCCACTCACACACACAATAAACGTTTATTTTCAAGAGTAAAAAAAAGTCTGCTAAAAGAGTCTAAGACCCAGACCTGGAGTGTGTCTCCTTTTCAAACCTCACAGTGTTGCAGAGGAAGCATAAAGGCGGTGAGACCTCAGGGGGTCGAGGAGCTGGTAGAGAACAAGGCCAGATAACTCAAGCTATGTGGTCATTTCTGATCTTCAGGTCCTTTGGGTGTCTCCTCTTCTGTCCCATCACCCTCCACACCCACCCCACACCCCCTATGGTTGCAAATTCCTTCTACGCAGAGTGGATGCCCGTCCACTTAGTGCCCCAGCTTTTCCTTGCTGTCTCCAAGTCTTTTCTACAGGGAAGTACGTGGTCAGAAGAAAGTTATTTGCTACCTAGAGCTCCCTCTGCTGATACACAGGGTGCTAGAAAACCTGCAGTTTCACATTGCCTACCTACGCCTTTGGTCTGATCAGAAGCTGTTTCCTTTTCTTGGGTGCAGTTGGGGGCCAGGGTATAGCTGATGCATGTCCATGGCCCTCTGTCCTTTGGGGGAGTGTTCGGGGGCTTTCAGCTTCCTGCTCCTGCTGACCTCTTTGTGCCCAGGAAAACTGGCACTTGCATCCTCTTGTCAGAGAAAACCAGGATTCCTAGCAATTGGACAATGTTTTGTGCATAACTCTCCCATTGACACTCAGGAACCAGTGACCCATGTCTATTATTTCTGTCTGATACAGAAGTGAAAACTAGGGGGAGGTTTTTAAGAACAAACTCACAGTCAATTTGTAGAATCTGGGTAAAAACAGGTTCTAATAAACTAAAAAGAAACAGACACATGATTAAGATTTTTTTTAAAAATCCTGCATATTTCACTAAATTTGACTCATGAAGTTTATTTAAATTCAGAAGAAGGCATGCCATGCTCTGGTTCTCCAGTATCTTCTGTCCGGACTACTTGAGAGAAAGGGAGAGCCTTTATTTACAAACCAGCCTCCCAACATAACCAAATTAACATTCTCTCAACTCTGCACTGGCCAGCACCAACATTTCATATGAGATATATAACACTCTGTTACATACAATACCCTTATCCCCTGCTACCCTCCTCCCCAGGAGCCTTAGGATATAGGCAGTGTTATTTGTCTTCACCTTTTAAATATTGTAATATTGAGATTTGGTAACATTAGCAACTTGCTTAAAATCACACAACTAAAATGTTGCTGAGATGCTGATGGAGTCGAGGTACTTGTGTGCACCATACTGTGATCCACCAGCTAGTGTTCATTCCACACCCAGAATTCATTCAGAGCCCTGGGCCAGAGAGAGCAGGTTCTTGCCCTTGGAGCTTTCTATAAAATAAAGGACTAGATTTAGTGCCACTTCCCCCAGGCAGCCTTCCCTGACTACCCCCTTTTCCCTTTGATATCTTTAGACACTTATCATTGACACTGCCCTGTCATTATGAAAACAGATAATACTTAACATTTGTTGAGTACTTATTATGCACAAGTTCCTATAGAAAAAGATCTTTACATGGGTTATCTCATTTAATCCTTAACATAAATCTTTATATGATTATCCTTGTTATAATCCCCCTTTTTACAGATGAGAAAACTAGGCATAGAGAAGGCAAACAATTGACACTGACAGTCTCAGTTGAGTTGCAAAACTGGGGATCTGCTTGATATTAAGGGTGAAGACCCCCCTTTTCCTGATTTCCCTCATAACCCCTGGCTTAGTGCTAGGCACACCCTGGAGCTCAGAACGACTTGCTGACTAATTTACCCTCCCCACACTTGAAGGTGATGATGAAACAGGATTTAGGGGTGGGGACCCAGGAGGGAAGCCCACAAATCAGTTGGAACTTCCTTAGAGCTCTGGCTCTCAGTTAACTCGAGAGTAGGAACCGTATTTATAAAGAAAAATTCCTTAGGGAATTTTCTTCATATCTATATTTCACTCGCCCAGCATGATGCCTAGTGCATAATAGGGTCCAATACATCTGTGTTGAATGACTGAATAAGCTTTAAGAATTCTAAAGAAACTTGCTGCTGTTGCTAAGGCTGCAACTGCCAGAGTCTCAGGCAGCACTTTGGCTCTGTCTTCTACACCAGGCTCCATAAAGATGCTTGAGGAGCTGTCTGTCTTGGAGCAGGAAGAGGGTCTCAGTGACTCTAGGAGCTTGCCTTCCTGCTCTGCTGTCTCAGGTGATTTTTTTGTCCTAAAAGCCTCACATAAGCTGTTTATGGCATCCATAACCTGCTTGGAGCTTTTAAACCTCTTTTTCGTGTGGCTTTTTATGAGTTGAAATAAACAAACAATTCTCACTCTCTCTGGGGTCTTAGGGACCTGGATCCTTAACCTTACTCCTTTAGCCTGTGGCCCTGGAGGGAGCTGAACCAGAGCGTGGGCCACAAAGGACTGTGGTTAACATGTTGCTGTAGGAAGTAGATAACATCACCGCTGCTTAGAGGAAAAATGCAGCCCAGACCTTGAAGCAAAGATGGGCAGGAATGGGGGAGGGGAGTGCCAAGAATCCTTAGCCTCTACTGGGATTTGGAAGCTCTGTTTAGATACTGAGGAAGAGTTCTGGGGATATGACATGATGATCTTGGGGACCATCTCACCCAACCCCTCATTTAGCTTTGAAGAACCCAAAGTCCTTGGAGGGGAATGACTTGCCCAAGGTCACGTAGCATCATAGTGGCTGAATGGAGTAGATAATGGTGGCTCCCTCCCCTGTACCAGTTCACTTCTTCCCATAAGACCCTGATTCCTATAAAACATCCAGGTGGTTGCAGGGGAGCTGGCTTCTCCCCAGGGCCAGAGGTGATGATGTATAGGACCTTGACCAGCACATTCTATCTTCCTGGCTAGAGTACTTGGTTTAGGAGTCATCTTACAGCTGCTTCAGTTAGAGAGAATCTCTGGGCCTTTTAGCAGAATGCTGGGAATTGGGAAATATTGCTCCTCCTTCTCCTGGGCTAGAAATGAACAAAGGATACAAGTAGTCTCAGCAACTGATGCCAGGCTGACATGAAGGGAAAACCTCAGGATGAAGTTAACCCATAAAAGGCAGAGAGGAGAGATGGAAAGAAAAGGAATCCCAGGCCATAGTTCTAAGTTGCTGGATCAAACCTCATTTTCTTGCTCACCACTCCCACCCCATCCTCATGAACCCATAGCACCTCATGCACATCTCTAAAGTGACGCCAACCTGACTGCATTTTAATGACTGGCATCTACATCTGGCTCTTATTCTAGACCCCAAGCTTAGTGAAGGGGACATTCAGCTTTGCTCACCTGTGGATCCCTGCACCTGGTCCAGGGTCTGACACAGTTTGATGCCCATGGACTCTTTCTGAGTGGATAAAACAATCTCCCTGCCTCCTTCTCTGATGGATCCTCTTTATTCCTCCACTTTCTCCTCTTTACAAATTAGAATATTTAAAAGCACAATGGACAAGAAGCAAAACATTTACTTAGAGGTTGCAGTTCAGACTGGGGATTGGCTCTGCTATTTCTATTCTCATAGTGCTATGTCCTGACCCCGCCCCCCCCCCCACCCCTCCATCCACTCCCTCTATCCTCTCTGTGTGTTCAGGGCTGCTGTGTAGAAAGCCTTGGGCAGAGGACAAGGGAGGGAAAAACAGGAAAGACTGAGTCAGAGAAGGCTGGGGATGAAACTTGAGCCCTTTGGGATCCTCAGTCTAAACCTTCATTGACAGAGGAGGAAGCTCAGGCCCAAGGAGTTCTCCTGGCTCAAGGTCACTGCAACAGTCTAGCCCAAATGGCAAGACCTGTTCCCTTAGAAGCTGAGCCCTGCCCCAACTGGAAGGCAGGCTTCAGGATGCTTGGGAAGAAGGACCTGGTACAACGCTCAGGGGCCAGACTTTGGGCCTTGTAGCTTGTGAAGGCTGAGAAACTTCACAGGGTCTCCCTTTCCCCACTAAAACACTTGCTTGCCAACTGGGCTTGGAGTCTCTTGGCTTGTACATCCTTAGGGACCAGGGAAGTGACTCAATGAAACACTCTGTACATCGTTGGCACTAGGGGGTGGGTGTGATTCAGAAGTCACTCACACAGACTCATTCATAGCCTCCTCCCTGCCCCTTCAAGCTAAGGATCCAAGGATCACTCTGTGTGGCTCCGACACTCCTGAAACGTTCTTCACGTCTCCACCTGCCAAGCAGTCTTTGTGCGCACAGATGATCCCCGACCGCAAACACCAGGGCGCGGAGCGTGCTCCATTCAGCAGCCTCGTGCTGCTTCCCACACGGAAGGCAGGATCTCAGGACCCCCAAATCTTCCTCACCCGACCCCACTCCCTCGATTCTGGGTGGGCGGGCCCATCCGGCCCACCCTCACCCAAAGCTCCTATGCATTTCTGCCCCCGCCTCTTTTTCTCTGCCGCGGGAACTGTGCCCCTACCCCACTCCTGCCGTAGTGGGGGTCCGTACTCCCTGTTTGCCCCCATCCCCTTCTTTTCCCTCCTCCTTTTTCTTCCCTCTCTCCACCTCTAGGCCCCGCCTCTTTCCACCTCGGCCCGCGTCCCCCCAGGCCGTTCTCGGTCACACGCCCCCCCCCCCGCCCCTCCGGGAGAGGAGTGTGGGGAGGGGGAGCCCCGCGGGCTAGGCACCCCCACCGTCCCTGCGTGCCATCCCCCGAGCGCGCGCGCCGGCGCCCCCCTCCGCGGCCTCCCGCTCCCCGCCTCCCCGCCTTCCCCTCCTCCTGGTGACGTCCGGGTCTCTGCCCGTCTGAAAACTCCGCGCCGCGGCGGTGGAGGCGGCGGCAGCGGCGGCGGAGGAGGAGGAGGAGGAACAGCGGTGAGCCCGGGCGGCGGCGGCGGCGGCGGCGGCGGCGGCAGCGGCCCGAGCGAGAGCCCGAGTGGCGGCCAGCGGCCGCAAGAGCCACGGGCTGCGCGGGGGCGGCCCGGAGCGCCCCAGGTCCCCGCGTCCCGCTCGTCCGCCGCGCTCCGAAGATGGTGGCGGCGCCGTGCGCCCGGAGGCTGGCCCGGCGCTCGCACTCGGCGCTGCTCGCGGCACTCACCGTGCTGCTGCTGCAGACGCTGGTCGTGTGGAATTTCAGCAGCCTCGACTCTGGGGCTGGGGAGCGCCTCGGGGGCGCAGCGGTCGGCGGCGCCGAACAGCCGCCTCCGGCCCCGGCCCCGCGCCGCGAGCGCCGGGACCTGCCCGCGGAGCCGGCTGCAGCCCGAAGAGGAGGCGGCGGCGGCAGCCGTGGAGGACGGGGGCCCCCAGCGCGGGCACGGGGAGGCGGCGCCGGAGAACCCTGGGCACAGCAGCCGGCCAGCCGGGGGGCACTGCCCGCGCGGGCTCTGGTAAGATGCCCCTTCGGCTTGCGTCCCGGAGGGAGGAAGGAAGGGAACCAAGCAGCCCTGGCCCCACGCCCCCCAGTCCTTGAGCCCTGGTCATCAGACTGGGACTCCTCAAGCTCGCTGGCACCACATCCCTTTTCCCTGGAAGTCAGGGTGGGGACCTTGCCAAGGCTTAGGGGCCGGGGGCTGCCCCATCTTGAGTCTGAGGACTGCCCCCTTGGGGTCTGGGGAAGTTATCTCCAGAGGAGGCGCTTTGGGGGTTACAGGAGCTGGCTGGGTGCCTGTTCCCCGTCACTCGTTATGGGCGCTCCTACTTGCTTTAGGCATGTAGGTGGTTGGTGCCTCAAACCCTGTCTGAGTGAGTGGATGGTGCCCGGGATCGTCAGCCGCTGCTCATGGGTGATTCTCGCAGCATCTCTGGTTTTTACCGAGCTGGGTGTAGACAACTCAGTGCCTGGCTTGCTGCCTCATTTCTTTGCCCTGGACTGAAAGGGGGTCTGGGATCGGTGTCCCAAGTCTCCAGCCTTGTGCCTGAATCAGGACTCAGTGTGGGGTGTGTGGTCTTAGTTTGGGTCTTACTCCCATCTCTGCATGTCTGACTCCTGCCTTTACCTTCTCAGCCTCTAACCTTGCCCTTTCCTTGTGCCCTATCTGACTTTCCTCACCCTGCTCTCCAGTGTCAGGGCATGGCCCCTTCTTTTAGGTGGTGTCTCTGGCTCTCTGTGTTGTGGGTAGCTGATTCCTGTCGCCAGCTGTGTCCCACCACGCCATCATGACGTGGGCTGCTGTGGGTTTTCTGTGCTCTCCTTGGTCCCTGCTCTGAAACTCTTCCTTCCGCAGATCTTTTGGGGTCATCTGGGTGTCTTCCTACTGTCCTCAACTCCAGGGGTGCCTTTCATACCTCCTTTGGGCTGCTTTACTGAGTTCACTGAACTCGGAGCTCTCAGAACTGGAGGTCAGAGTCCCCAGTTCTGGGCCAGAGTCTCAGTGCTGATGCCTGCGTCTGTCTTAAGGCATAAGGAGTGCTGTGTGTCTGTCTTTATCTTCATCGTGCCACTTGATTACTGGAAATCTAACTCTTGGAGGACATTGAACAACAGGGATAGTTATAGGATCCCTAGACACTGAACACATGTCTCTGTCGTTTGTCACTTCGGGAGCCTTTCCTGAAGGCTGCCTTCAGACACTGTGATGCTTGTTGATCTGCTAAACTTCTTTGGCGTCCAGGTGACCCTCTTTGCTAGAGTGCAGCTTTTTGTGCCGCTAGGCTGGTGGTGTGATGGCATGTCATGTTGCTGGTGGCTGGTCTGTGTGTGTAGCAGGGAGCCCTCTTCCCCTCCTTTTGGGGGGAGGACAATGGATTGAGATTCCTGATGGAGAACCAGAACATTTCCAATGACCTGCAGCCTCTTTTTTGCAGCAAGGGGTACTCTCAAACTCTGCCTTTGAACTCCAAGAGTGGATAGTGATGTGTTTGGGCAAAAATGCAATTAGAAGTTCTTCCTGGATTCAGAGCCTTACTGGGAGGTGGGCGGGAGGGGTTCAGGTCATGCACTGCTGGTCCCACATGGGAACACTTGTAGGACTAGCATGGGGTTTACTTTATCCTTGGCATCTTAAGTTCAGACCTTCCTCCGGAGGTGCCTTTGGGTGTAAATATCACCTGTTGAAACTTGTAGAGAGGAAGAAGGAGGCCTGACTGTCCAGGTTCTTCCTGGGTCTCTGACATTTGAGTACTCTGTCCACCTCTCCACTTTGTGCATTTAGTTCAGTGTCTTATTCTCTCACCTCCCAGCTCAGCCACAGAGAGGTTTGCAGTTGGGAAGGTAGGTGAGAGTGTGCTATTCTTCCTTTTTTATTCCATTTGGAATGCCAGTTGAAGTAGCAAAGTTGCTTTGCTTTTCTGAAACTCTGTTTTTCTCTGCAATTCAGTTACTGTCACCTATCCATATCTCCCCGTGTCTCAATTTCTTCACCTCCCGATACAGATAGGTACATGTTTTTTTTTTTTCTTTTTTCTCCCTCCCCCTTCTTCATAATTGCCTACCATGCTATTTGTGTCCCTGTTGTGTCTCCGGGATTTGTATTTTATGTTTGTGTCTTCTCTTTTCTCTTTCCTACCTCCCCTACCACCACACACACACCATGCACGTACCCCTCTGTCCTGCTAGATCCTGAAATCACAGTGCTGACTTGCTGGGTGGGGCCAGGAGTCTGTCCTCCTGTCCGTGTGTCCTTCCCACCCCCCAGCCCCTGCCCTTCCATAGAGCTCAAGGAGACCAGAAGGGGGCAGGCTGTTCCCAAAGTCTGGTGTTGCCTGAGCTTGGGTTGCAGCTAGGAGAGGACCAGGCCATTTCTCAAGCCACTGAGGTCCTTGCAAAATGCAGACCCTGCTGGAGCTGCTGGCATGGTGCTTTGATGCTGGATTCAGGACAGGGACATTGAAAAAAAAAATTCCCTGTGATTTTCCAGATGGCTCTTGTGAAGAGCTGGTGAGGCACATTCTTGGGAGATGGTCCTTAATCTCTGCTCTGTTGAGGTCTGGGGGTGGGGTGGGGTGGGCAGTTTATAGAAGGAATCTGTGGCCCTGGTGGTGGTGGTGGGTGTGTTCCAAAGAGTGTCAGACAGGCACTGAGCACAGAGCATTTTCTGAAGCAGATCTTGCTGCTTCCTTGTGTCCACCTTTCCCCAGCTTCTGCATGTGTACATTCTATGTTTGAGGAGCTGCACCCCAGTCGAAGGACCTGATTTTATTTTTGGTGCATTTTAAGAAGCCGAGAGGAAACACTCAGTTTCCCAAACAGACCTACCTAGTCAGATTAGTCTGAGAGGGTGAGGATGGTGCCAAGATGGGCACAGCCCTAAAAGATTTATAAGGTCCCCTTTTCCTTTCAGCCTCTTTCAAAGCTCTTAAATATTAGAATTATTGGCTGGGTTGTAGCTGAGTTTTATGGCTGTGACACTGATTTTTTTCCTTGGGTTTCCAATAAGCTGTGGATTTTACTGTCATCTCAGAATTTAAGAAATGGATGGGCTCACTTATAAAGAGAGGAGGACACTAGTAAACGATCATACTACAGGTTCTGAATAGATTGGGAGAAAATGAAGGAGAACTGTGTGTGTTAAAGTAAGGACTGTTCATTTTCTTTCCCTTTGCTGCCAGTGATCCTTGAGAAGTCCTCACATGTATTGCTTGTGCCCTTTGATAAACTGTTACTCAGTAAGTTTCATTTAAGAAACCTAATTTTTATTACCCTTGCACACACACACACACACACACTTAAAGGAAACAGGGTCTTGGTATTGTCTGATCCCTTTGAAATGTTGATTTTTCAGCAGAAATTCCGCATGCTTCACATTACTCAGATAACTCAGGATGTTTTCCGACACTGGAAGTGACTTTGAAAAACTGGTTTGCTGTGTCCAGAGTGCCTCCTGTTCTAACAGCCTTAGAGGTGTTGCTTTTCTTTCTATCCAAATGTTTGGAGACCACAGAGAACAGAGGGTATTTTATTGATGGTTTCTTTTTTCACACTTTGAATGGAGTTTTATTTTGCTTGAGCAATGCATTACACTTTGTATACAGAAATATGCATCATTGAACAATATTTATCTTACTGCAAATGTTGCCATCTGCTTAATCACATACTGGAAAATGTTAAATAAAATAGGTAAATAAAAGGAGGAATAATTATACACACAGGTATATATGTTTTGTATATCTACAGTATGTGTGTGTATATATAATGTATATTCAGGGTGAGGCAAAAATAGGTTTACAGTTGTGAGTATGTAAAATACAGTTTATTCTTGTATTATTATGTATTAATTATCGTATTATTTCTCATACAAACAACTGTAAACCTACTTTTTCCTCACCTTGTATATAGGTACTTTCCACTCAGTCTCTCTGCACTTAGACTTTCTCTGTGGTTAACAAATTCTTTTAAAAAACATCTTCCAGAAGGTTGAATGACAAAATACTTATTACTGTTATGCAAATAGAAAGCCAAAACATAAGTTCCTGTTTGCTGGGAATTGTCCAGTTTTGATCCCTGGTCATAACAGAGAAGAAAATTTGGTGTGTTGAGCTAGAGTAGATACTTGACATCATTTTGGGGGGGAGAGAGAGAGAGAGAGAGAGAGAGAGAAGGAGTTTGTGTGTGGTGTGCCCATGCCTGTGTGTTTTCCAGAAAATGAAATATCCGTTAGAATATCTCTGCAGCAAGGGTCTGCCCCCCACCTCTGCCCCTCCCCCACCCCTCCCCCCCAGCCCCCAGAGCTGTATGTGATCGGTGGGCAGTAAATCTGTGTGCAGAGACTAAAGTGGGCGGAGCCAGTGTGATCGACTGTGTGGGGTGAAGACTGACCTTCTCCGTCTTTTGGTTAATACTGCCCTAAGACTTGTCACTTGTGGTAACTCTCCTTTTTCTCCCTTTCTTTCTGCTCACTTTTATTGACCCTGCTCCCATTCTATCAGAAACAAAGAGAAAATACTTTGGGAAAAATAATAAACACAAACTCAGCCCCAGCAAAACCCAACTTTAAAGCAAGGGCTGTGGGAACAGGAGAGAAAGTTGCAGGAAATGTGTGCCAGGCCTTAGCACCATCGAGAGAGAAGTTGGTAAAGAGTCGTTGGGTCTGACATACCCGGGTTCAAGTTCCAGCTCTGCTCTTGGACCCATTAGTGCCTCTGAAAATCAAGGCCACCTCGGAAGGTTGTGTGAGGATGAAATGTAACAACACTCATGGACTGATTCGTGCCTGGCACATAATTAAATGCTCAAATGTGAGCTGTTGTTCTTTAAAAAAGAAACCCTTAGCATGTTTGAAAATAAGCAGGGCTTTTTTTTTTTTTGCAATTAGCATCCATTTTCCCAGGCCAAGTAAAGGTGGAGAGAAATCCAAGGAAGAAGGAAACGTATATCCTGTTGTGTCACCCTCAGAGCAGGATGGAATGTGCTAGGGGAAGGGCTGCTGTCATTTATTGAGTGCCAGCTGTA